ACTGTTTTCTGAGTTCACCCAAGATAATAATACTGTAGAGAGAGTAAATGTTACCAGCATGATAGGATACTGCCCTCACTTTTGAATTTGTGCATAATTGTAATGACACCTTGTCTTCACTGACCTGTTGAACTGAAGTTGTTTCCTTTAGTGTTAATCTTTACATTTACATTATGGAACAAGTGACAAAATATTTAATGGACAGAGATGTACTGACGTTTCTTGAAAATCTTCTCTAAGTATACTTGAGTGGCCTGCAGGTAGCAGAGGAAACAAGACATACTTAATATTTTGATATACTGAACTTAAATAACCTGAATATATATAGGGTCATGTGACTCATATGACTGTTTTCAAAAATCTTTATATTTGTCTGCCTCAAGTTGCATCATTTCAGCATACTTCTTGAGTAAAATAATTTATTCTACTCATCCTAGCCTTTGATGAGGATCAGATAGTTTTGTAAGATTAGAAAGGACTCAGCTGGCATCCACTGAAGTGAGAAAAATGTAATTTCTCTCTGGAGCGAAGAACAAGTATTTCTCAGAGAATATCTGTGTAACTGTGTATCCTTCTTCCATTTACTGACAAACAGCTTCTGCAAAAAATTCCTTTTTTGAATTTCACCAAAATTTAGAAAAATTGTGCATAATTCTCTTGCCTAAAAATAAAAAACTAAAAAATTCAGCTCTTTAGAAAAGGCTGTGTTCTGTGTTCTTGGATGTCATAGAAACTTAGATGCCTAAGATAGCAGTGCTAAGATAGTTACAGTTTGACAGTAGACTTTAAAACCACTGACTTCATCTTTATATATATTATATATATGTTTCTGTAAGAATTCCCAGTTACGGTCATAGAAACCAAGTTGCCTATACTGAAAGGATTATGAGACTGCAGGTTTAATCTGAAAAGGAACAAGCAACTGGCAGGTGCTTTTGCTCCATGATATTCAAGGTTGACTAAATAGTTTTAACAATACTTCTTCCTAAACTGCTTTACCAATGAGGATAGTTTTTCTCAGCTATGATATTTGTTTCCTGTTACATGTAGCTATTGACTGTTAACAAATTATTTACTCTGTAGTACTTTCACAAGGATACTTGTTTTTTCTGTAGTTAGCTACTTAGTAACAAGGGTATCACCTGAGTGATTAGGGGATCACTAGGTGATACCCGGGTGACTGTCAAACACTGAAGCATTCTCTCAAAAAGTGATGATAGACTGAAGATCACTTAATTATAACCAATACTTTTCCCCCTGAAGTGTATCTATTTCAACTGTGCAACATAGCAATTAGACTAATTTTAAAGGAAGAATTAATCCACCACACAGTGATGGCGTTATTAGTTGTTTCCAGAAATGTAATGTGAACTAAGAGATTCTAAGAAGATGCACGGCTCTATCATCTGCAGCATCTTCCATTTCTTCTTGAGAGCAAGCATAAACTTGATGAGACTTGAGGTGTTAGGTGACCCAGAGTGAGTGAAAGAAGTTTCATTTTCCAGGTAAGGTCTTATCAGAGTAACACTTAGCTCTTCTGCTTGACGAAAGAAGTTTCAGTTAAATGGGCTTCTGCAATTCCTTCTGTTGTGAGAATTCCACATCAGTGTGGCATACTGTAGGAAGAGTGTACTAGTGGTTCAAGACTCTGAGCACATTTTTCTTTACTCATTTTACCATCTATCTTGTTTTCTAATTTTACAGCTGAGTAATACCTGAAGAACTATGCAGTACTAGCAAACAGATTTCTGTTTAAAACTAGTACCTAAAATCAAAAATATGTTTCCTGAGCCATTGTATGTAATGCAAGCGTATTACTTGTAATTGGAGGTAATACTTGCTCACTATCGAAATTCTAATTTTTATAAAGAAGCTGTTTTGTTTGTGTGCGTGTACATGATTTTATTAGCCAAATCACCTTATTCCTTAGGAATTAGATAATATTCCATTTACAGAAAAAAAAACACAGACAGATCATTAATATTGAGAAAGACAATGGTAGAGCATCTCACTGTACACAGCATATGGCCTCTTATTAGTAATAATAATAATAACATGTTATGGGGCTGCACAGTTACATCATACAACTGATTGCTTTGTGCTGTTTCTCAGAACTCATTTAAGCCAGGAAATTGCAATTATGAGGAAGCCAAACAAGGTTATATTATTGCCTAGATGCTTTGCTATTTAAAAATAGTATTGGACAAAATTGCCGTTAAATCTAATTTCTGAATAGTAATGAACCATTCTTCCTCCTTCAGTGTGTATGCATGCAGATAAATGCAATTGTATAATATCTATTAATGCAACTCTCATAGTTTTCAGGAAAAAAAATTTAGATAACACTATGTCAGTTATTCTTTTGATAAACTGATAAATTTATTTTATTCTTGAGTTTTTACTGTGAGCAGTTGCTTTCATTCAGTTTTATTTTAGATTATTTGAGACACTTTTTGGAAAGTGTTTCGTCAATTGAGTACAAAGTATTCCCACTCTTTACAATGAAACTGATACTCCAAGAAAAAAACAGCAAAAAAGCCCCTTACCTTTTCAGTGTCCCTGTGAACAACAGGAACATGTGAAGAGTATGTTTCCCTGACAAACATACAAAATTGTAAAGCAGTTGACTGACAGTTGACATTTTGAAAATTTTCATTGTTAACAATTGCAACACAATTTTTCCAATTCTTTCTATCTGATGGTGCCATTTTATTGGCTTTATGTAGAAAAGATAGCTGTTCAGTTTCTGAGGCTACCATGCTATTGAATTTTAGGTAATGAGGAAAAGCACTCTAAGCCTGCTAAATATTGGTATTTTTGTGCTTTTGAATTTATAAAAGTGTAATCAATCAGGGTGATTGTACTCTTGTATTAAAGGTGTATTTCTGCTGTCACCTGCAGTAATTTTTTGAATTTAGAAACAGCTTTTGATAAAAAAGGAGGAAATGAGGAAGTTCATGTAAAACATTTGGGTTGATTTAAATACTGATTTGAGTTTCAAAAATGTTTTGAATTCATTTTATAGAGAAAGCAATGTTTGTTGGTTATAATTTCTAAAATATTAGAGATGTAACAATTTGAATGGAAACTGGAAACAAATTGCAGTACCTTAAATGGATTAGGCAATTATTTACAATTCAAATACTTACTTATAGAAAGTTATTTATTAAAACATTATACATTATTAGACCTTTGATTTTTTAATTTATCATGTAATTTACTGTTTTAGAGAAAGCAGTCTTGTAAAGATTCTCTAAAACTTTGACATCTAATGTACATCTTAATACAAGGCATTTTTTCCTGAATTTATCTTAATTTGGATTTATTTTATATTGTTCATCATTTTGTATTTTATTTTAAATATTACTTTAAGCATATATATTTAACTAAAATAATTTATTGCCTACAGAAATATTTATTTTCCTCAACGCTGCTAAGATAGAATCTAATTGCTGTCTTGCAGCTCATGTAGTGAACAAATAGCTGTGATTGCACAGTTCAAATGAGAGGTGCACCATAATCAGATGTAAACTTGCATCAGGATTTAATTGACACCAACAGTGGTCTTTCTAAACGCTAGAGAGCATCCTGATCAAAGTGCTCGCTTTACAAAATGAAACCCTGGGTGTTCAAGAAACTCTTTTTTCTTGGTCCAAAATGATAAATAAAGTAACTTTAAAACAGTACTGTATGGAAGGGATGAGGAAAATGACATCTGGATAATATACAATAATCAAAAATTCTTTTTCAGAAGTGCACAAATTATTATTTCACTTCCTGTCCTTTGATTTTTTGGCAAAATACCTTCTAGGGATGGCTTTAAACCTTCTCCTGAAGTAGCCTCTTGGATGCGCTTTGTCGCTGTCTGCCATCAAATTGTCTGGCAAGGATGTATCGAAGCTGCAGCTGACCCAGTGACATGAACTTTCCAGCTCCATCTTAGCCTCTCTCTTGCTTTATTTTGTGCTCTAGTTCCACAGGATACTCCTGATATGCCCAGCATAGAATTATTCCAGCTCTCATAATTGTTACTATTCTCTTGTTTCTGCTCTTTAGCCAAGAACATATGCAGAATATACTTCATCCGTGTTGCCCAAGAGTCTTTGTAAACAGACTACACTGTTCCTCCTTGATCCATGAAGTTAGCATCCCAAAGCTACGAAATATTTCTTTAAAATAATGTGACCATTCCCTCCAAGCACACACAGGGATTATTCATTTTCTCCAGCTGTTGCAACAATAGCTGTTTCTCATTTTATAGCAAAGCCATTTTTAACATCATTTTCCAGACATATGTTGAAACATAAGTAGCAGGCATCAGTTTTGGAGTAAGGTATCTGAGTAGGTGTCAAAAGTGTATTTTCCATCTAAGGTAACCTAATCAGTGGAGGTAGAGTCTGTACAGTCAGTGAATCCTGGCTGTCGAGATTTAGTTGCCTGTGTACAGCGCTTGTTTACAATCCTCAGTGTATCCCACTCAGTCCCTAGCTGACCCTCCAAAAGGTCTGGTTTTCTTCAATAGTGCTGGGGTTAGAAGTTACCTTGAATGCCTGCAGGCTTCTCAAATGACACTCTGAGCCAACTTTAGGTAACTAAATCCTTCCCCTAATGCCCTTCTTGGTGTGGATTTGGCCCAGTCTCCAGGTTCTCTTCATTGTTCTTATTAGACCTCTGCTGACTATATTGGAAACTTAGGCACCTCGTTCACATGAAGCATTAGAAACCTTAAGTTAGGTACCT